TGGGACATGATGAATGAAACATTAACAGCATAACACTTACCTTTACTGTATTGGCAATTCTTCTTAGTGTATGGAAGACTGGAGGAGGAGAGAGATTGAATTACTGTTTGGAAGAGGAATCCCCCTTCCATCAACACCTCAGCTGCCAAGTGCTTTTCTGGGGTTACTTCTCTTCTCTGTTTCTTAATGGCACTAGGACAAGCTTGAGAGTCACTGGAGTCCTGTCTCGCAAAAAAACTGTCCAGAGAGCTCTGTTTCTGGCGTCTCTTTTAAAACTTCCCTAAAATGGCCCAAGACTCTGTCACTGTACAAGTTGCCAACATGGCTTGCAACATCCTTCTCAGGGTGATGTTTCTCCATAAAGCTTTCCATCTTACCCCACATTTCAAAAATATCCTTAATTTGTGAAGAAGGCACCTTCTTCCCTCTCTCTTCCTCCTCCTCTGCAGCAAGATTCTGAGCTGCCATCTGTTGCTGTTCCTGCTGAAGCTCTTGCAGCTCCTCAGTGGTTAGCTCTTCGTTGTGGTCCTCCACCAACTCTTCTACATCCTCCAAACTCACATCCAACCCCATGGAACTCCCCAGTGCCTCAATTGATTTTACAACTGACATAGGCTCATCAGGGGCCACCTCAAACCCTTCAAAATCCCTCTTGTGGACACAATCTGGCCACAATTTTCTCCAAGCAACAACAGCTTCCTTGATTTCCTTTTTCTTTGCCACAATGGAAGATATGGTTGTATGGAGTTTGTTTATACATCCTGGCCAGTTCGCCCACACGTATGCCACTTTCATATTGTTCAATGATGTTTTTCTTAAATTCAATCATATTTCTCACCTTCTTTACCAAAGGCTTGGCACTAGGAGCTTTCTTTGGAGCCATGGTAGCTTATTTAGCACTTGCAAGCACTAAAATGAATTGATTATGAAATATTTCCTATGAACACGTGAGGGGACCGTCGCTCACTGGTAAACAATGGCACACTGACTGGGAAGGGAGGCCGAGGCGGCTCAGAGCGTGAGTACGCGTCCAGGACGAAGGACGATTAGCAAGTTTTGGACCATTTGCGAGCCAATGTTTAGACGAAATAATGGGACTATTTCCGAAATGGACGACTTTCAGACCGGACGATTATTGAGGGACCACTGTATTTAGAAAAAGGAGAAAAACCTAGATGTATGTATATATATATGCATGTGCATGTCTGTGAAGTGTGACCAAAATGTAAGTAGGAGTAGCAAGATATCCCTGTTATCTAGCGTGTTTATGAGACAGAAAAAGACACAAGCAATCCAGCAAAATGGCAAATGTAATACCTATTTACAAGGCAGGTGACAGGTCCTTAGCTTTAAACTATAGACCAATAAGCCTTACCTCCATAGTGGGAAAATTTATGGAATCAATAATTGCCAAAGAAATTCGTAGCCATCTTGATAGGCATAAATTGATTAATGAATCTCAACACAGTTTTACAAAGGGGCATTCCTGTCTTATGAATTTACTAACATTTTTCACTAAGGTGTTTGAGGAGGTAGATCATGGTAATGAATATGATATTGTGTATATGGACTTCAGTAAGGCTTTCGATAGTTCCACATCAGAGGCTATTGAGGAAACTTAAGGCACACGGAATAAGAGAAGAAATTTTTTCCTGGGTAGAGGCATGACTGACAAATAGGCAGCAGAGAGTTTGCATAAATGGGGAGAAATCAGAATGGGGGCACGTCACAAGCGGTGTTCCGCAGGAGCCAGTGTTGAGCCCGTTGTTGTTCACAATTTATATAAACGACACAGATGAGGGAATAAATAGTGACATAAGCAAATTTGCTGATGACACCGAAATAGGCCAGCAAATTCATTCTAATGAGGACACTAGAGCACTAGATGATTTGAATAGACCGATGCAGTGGTCGGAGAAGTGGCGGATGCAGTTTAATATAGACAAATGCAAAGTTCTAAATGTTGGACAGGAAAATAACCATGCCACATATAAACTAAATAATGTAGATCTTAATACAACTGACTGCAAAAATGATTTAGGAGTTCTGGTTAGCAATAATCTAAAACCAAGACAACAGTGCATTAGTGTTTGCAATAAAGCTAACAGAATCCTTGGCTTCATATCTAGAAGTATAAATAATAGAAGTCCTCAGGTTGTTCTTCAACTCTATATATCCTTGGTGTTATATCTTCGAAATTGGTCATCCTGTGTTATTTAACTATTGTAAGAGAATATGTTCATCACTTAATATTATAGCGCGAAAGTCCCCGTTTATAGCTAAAATAGAGACTTTCGGTGTTATATTATTATCTGTTAATATATGAAAAATACCATGGTATTATCGTTATTATCACTATTATCACTATTTTATTATTATCACTATTATTTTATTATTATTGTTAGGTAGGATTTCTTGTGTATATAGAGTAGAGTCTAAGTCTCGGAACCATCCGGTGAATTGTTCAATTGTTTATGTCCGGCTGACTGACGTTGGGTCAGGTGATCCAACCTGACGACACGTCAACAGACTGGCAAGTAGTCAGTCTGCTCCCTGCTCTAGCCCTGACAACTGATCGTATATTGGCTCTTACAGTGTACAGTTTGAATGGTTTTGAGAATTGGACTCTAGAGCTGACTCACTTTGTTCCTCATTACTCTGAAAGATTCTTTTGATATTTATATTCTTGGTCAGTTCAGTAATCCATAGAGATACTTTACGGCCAGATTCAAAGGTCTTGTTAAATCCTGTACCTTTTGTATTTTGAGTTTAGTCTTGTTAAGACAAAGACGTAAATGTTATTGAAGACTGAATTACAGGAAGAATAATTAAACTTCCTTATTAATGTGACAATTCCATGATTTTGAACTAAATGTACAGTGGACCCCCGCTTAACGATCACCTCCAAATGCGACCAATTATGTAAGTGTATTTATGTAAGTGCGTTTGTACGTGTATGTTTGGGGGTCTGAAATGGACTAATGTACTTCACAATATTCCTTATGGGAAAAAAATCGGTCAGTACTGGCACCTGAACATACTACTGGAATGAAAAAAGTTCGTTAACCGGGGGTCCACTGTATATGGTAAATTTATTGTACAAAGTATTAAGTTACATTAACTACAAAGAAAAGATAAAGTATTGTATTTAAATACTTTAATAAATTTGAATATTATTCTATGGAGTTTCCCAGTTGAAATTATTTCCCTTAGACTCTAATACTTTAAATAACTCGGATCCAAAAATCTTGTTGCATAAGAAATGAATGGTAACAGGCCACATTCTGAAGTTCTTTAAAAAATTTCTTATTCGCAACACTTGGTTAGGCCTCATTTAGATTATGCTGCACAGTTCTGGTCACAGTATTACAGAATGGATATAAATGCACTGGAAAACGGACAGAGGAGGATGACAAAGTTGATCCCACGTATCAGAAATCTTCCCTATGAGGATAGACTGAGGGCCCTGAATCTACACTCTCTCGAAAGGCGAAGAATTAAGGGGAATATGATCGAGGTGTATAAATGGAAAACAGGAATAAATAAAGGGGATGTAAATAGCGTGCTGAAAATTTCCGGCTAAGACAGGACTCGCAGCAATGGTTTCAAGCTGGAAAAATTCAGATTCAGGAAGGATATAGGAAAGCACTGGTTTGGTAATAGAGTTGTGGATGAGTGGAACAAACTCCCAAGTACACTTATAGAGGTTAAAATGTTGTGTAGCTTTAAAAATAGGTTAGATAAATACATGAGTGAGTGTGGGTGGGTGTGAGTTGGACCTGACTAGCTTGTGCTACTAGGTCTGATGCCTTACTCCTTCCTCAAGCGGAAGTGACCTGACTAGGTGGGTCATTGGGCTAATTGCGGGGGAGAGGGGACATGGACCTGCTTTGCGTGGGTCAGCAGGCCTGTTGCAGTGTTCCTTCTTTCTTATGCTCTTTGTTTTGATCTTTTCTCTTTTTGTCTAAAAAAGAATGCTGTTCAATTTCCCTTTCTCTGCTAACTCTGTAGTGCCGCATTCCTTTTATATGGTGGTCTGGGCAGCTCAGGCCATAACATTCTCTGGACTGCATTGAAACTTTACACATTAATGGATGGAAGTTCCTGCTGCACTCTTTGTTGAAACGACACTTTCCCTTCCTCAACATGTTGGCACATTTTCTGGCGTGTTTATTCCAGCAATCTCTGCCATATAGGCACATACCTTTATTATAGTATCTGCAAATGTTCTGACTACCTATATTTACTGATTTTGCATTGTTTCCAAGTTCTGCCATCTGATCTGAGTTCTCCTGTTCACTTTCTTCTAGGGGAATTTCTTCTCTTTGCTCATTTTCATTTGTTCCTGCTCTAGCTTTCTCATCCTCCCTTTCACTTTCCGCTATGTTATGTATCCCTGTTTCATTGTTTTCCGACTTGCTCTCTATGACGTTTCCCACTCTTATTTCCACTCCTTGGTTTTCATCTCTATTTGCATTTTCCTCCTTTTCTTGTTCCTTTTCCCCTGTTTTCCACTCTTTGTATAACACTGGCAAGCTCCTTAGAAACATCCTTATGCTTTCCAGGTTTTCACTTTTCAGTACCTCTCTTATGCTTAACCAGCTGTCCCTTTCACTGGGGCAAATCCAGAAACGACTTTCTTGTTTTTGGTCATTTGTCATGGTTGCGTGAAGCTTTGTGCATGATATATGTGATAAGTGTGAACTATGTTCAAAAAATCCTGCAGCACACAGTGCATAATGAAGAAAAAATACATATGTATTTTTTTAACATGCTTGCCATCTCCCACCAAGGCAGGGTGACCCAAAAAAGAAAAAAACACTTTCACCATCATTCACACATAATCACTGTCTTTGCAGATTTGCACAGATATGACAGTTCAGATGTCACTCTAAACAGCAAATATGCCAAACCCCCCTTTAAAGTGCAGGCATTGCCTCCAAAAAAATTCACACACCCTTAGAGTTAAAATCTGAAGTTCTGAAAGCTTCCACACTAACCTTATTGATTCGGTTAAGAGGTATAGGCCGTTCTCTAAACATGCCTGTTGTAAGCATGTGTCTTGTTCCAAATTCTTCATTAATGTTTTGGTGTTCAAGTCTACTACAGCCCCGGGATCTTGTCAAGACGTAGTCTGCAAAGTTGCGACTTAACGGCTGGTATTTCTGAAGTAACAAAATTAGTGGATGAATTATTTCCCAGTACCACAAAGCATATTTTTGACAAATCTTAGTGTTATTCAACAGATTAAAAACTATAGTAACAGTGAGAAAGAAGGGTTAAATTTAGCATTAGAAATACAGTGGTACCTTGAGTTATGAGCTTAATTCGTTTCAGAAGGCTGTTTGAGTGCTGATACCGAACGAATTTGTTCCCACAAGGAATAATGAAAATTAGATTAATCTGTTTCAGACCCCCAAAAACATAATTACAAAAGTACTTACAAAAATACACTTACATAACTGTTCAAGTTGGGAGCTCCTCGTAACTCAAGGTACCACTGTATTCAAATTCTTATTACAGTACAAAAGTTCTGTAATCTAATCACCACAGAAACTGTAGTAGTAGTAGTGTTCAGGATAATAAAAGAAGGTTTTAACTTGAGATGAATGATATTAATTCTTTGACTGTCGCGGCCGTATATATACGTCTTACGAGGTACCGTGTTTGACCTTATACATACTCATAAATTCTAGAGGCTTCAAATCAAGAAGGAGAAAGCTGGTAGGTCCACATGTGAGAGAATGGGTCTGTGTGGTCAGTGTGCACCATATAAAAAAAATCCTGGAGCACGCAGTGCATAACGAGAAAAAAAAACTCCAACCGTTTTTTTAATTAAAATGCCGACTTTGTGGTCTATTTTCGTATAGTATTTATGGTTGTATTCTCATTTTCTTGGTCTCATTTGATAGAATGGAAAACATATTATAGAAATAGAGGTGATTTTGATTGATTTTACTATAAAAAGAACCTGGAAATGGAGTTCAAGGTAGGGGAAATGTTTGATTTTTGCCAATGTTCAAAAGTAAATAAATGATGTCATTGTCCAATAAATGTCCAACTAGCCATTCTAATATGCAGTCATGAAAGGGTTGATGTTATTTATACAATTATTACAGCATTGCTGTAGTCTGCATAATAGTAAATCTTCTATTTTTTTGTTTAAATAAAAATTCAAAATAGAAAGCAAGAGTAGTATCAGAGGGGCCTGGAGACATGACTGATGAACAAAGAAAATGTTATTTTAGAGCCAGGAATGCCTGCATTGTTCATTCTGGACCTTATTTTGAAATTGTCATATTTTTTAATTTTCATGAAATTGGCCAAATTGCAAATTTCTGACCACGTTATTGGGTAGTTGAAATTGGTAAATGGGCAGTTTCTTGTACTGAGCCGATAGAAAAAATGGAGTTCTAAAGAAATAGCTATGAGTTTGGTCGATTGGAACAATGGAATTAGCCTAAAATAGGGCTCAAAGTGGGCGAAGTTGCCAGTTTGTAAATATCGCCTAGGTCGCTAACTTCGCGAGAGCGTAATTCCATCAGTTTTCCATCAAATTTCGTTTTTTTGGTGTCATTACAATCGGGAAAAGATTCTCTATCATTTCATAAAAAATAATTTTTTTTTTTAAATTTTGCGATACCAGGAGACACCTCAGGATTGGGGGTTGAGACAGTCTAGGGGTTAATGAAGAGTACTGCACAAAGGACTCTGTATTAACTCTTAAACTGTCCAAACAAATTTACGTTCACATGCGTAGTGCTCCAAAAGTAGATCTTCAGTTTTTTTACATATTTTCAAATATAACAAAAAAAAAAAAAAAAAAAAGGCAGATCAAAGTTTTTTTTTGACACATTTTCAAATGTAAAAAAAAAAAAAAAAAATCTATGTTTTTTTACATACTTTCAAATGTTGAAAAAACGTAGATCTACGTTTGGACAGTTTAACCCTTTGAGGGTCGACAGGCCCTCTGAGACTTGTTCTCAGGGTCGGCCAAATTTAAAAAAAAAATTTTTTTTTTCTTATGAAAAGATAGAGAATCTTTTCCCGATCATAATGACACCAAAAGTATGAAATTTGATGGAAAACTTACAGAATTATGTTCTTGCGAATTTAGCGGTCTCGATTTTTACACATCAGCGATTTTGCCCACTTTGAGTCCTATTTTCGGCCAGTTCCAGTAGACTAGTCGACAAAAATAATAACTATTTCTCTCGAACTCCATTTTTTCTATTGAATGAGTACAAAAAAGCACACATTTACTGATTTCAACTATCCAAAACAGTGGTCAGAATTTAGCAATTTTGCCAATTTCACACAAATTTCAAAACATGTTAATTTCTAAATAGGGTCCAGAATAAACAAGAAAGACATTCCTGGCACTAAAGTAACATTTCCTCTGTTCGTTAGTCACATCCCCAGGCCCCTCTTATATTTCTTTGGCTTTCCACTTTCAATTTTTATTCTTACAAAAAATAGAAGATTTACTGTTATGCAGACTGCTGCATTAGTGTAGAAATGGTATAAATAATATCAGTGCACTTGTGAAAGAATATTAGACTCACCAGTTGACGTGTATTGGACGCTTGGCATGATTTGTTTACTTTTGAACTTTGGTAAAAATAGAACATTTCTGCTACTTTGAGCTCAATTTCAAGGTACTTTTCATTGTAAAACCAGTCAAAACCATCTCAATTTCTGTAATATGTCTTCCATTCTATAAAATGAGACCAAGAAAACTAGAATCCAACAATAAATACCATACGGAAATACAGTGCAAAGTCGCTGTTTTATTCCAAAAACAAGGTAAATTTTTTTTTTCTCATTATGCGCTGTGTGCTGCAGGATTTTTTTATACTGTGCACACTGACCACATAGACCCATTCTTTCATATGCATGCCTACCAGCTTTCTCCCACTAGATTTGAGGGCGCTAGAATTTAGGCATACTAGTACGTCAAAAACCCTGGGTCGTAAGCCGTACTAGTATGGCCGAAACCCTCAAAAGGTTAAGGGTTAAACTAGTAATTTATTAATGAACCAGTTATGTATTACTTAACAAGTATTGTACAGTAGGGCCCTATTTTATGGCATTCCGTTAATACGGACATTTCAAATTATGACCAAAACTCTCTATACAGCTCCTCCCACCTGACTTTCTAATATGGTCACCGCGGGCCACATGGTTTATTTACGTTTTCCATGAGCACAACTATCCATTATGTCTGGAAACTTTCCAAAATATCAAGTGTTTTAAAGTTACTTCATATTTTATACAGTAGACGAGTTTGTTTGGCACAATTTGGGTATAGTACAATTGAAGAACTACGGCACAATTTTATGTAACACACAAAATTAATTTAACACGGTTCAGTTTGCGGGAAGGAAAAAAAAATCCCTTTTCCTCAAGCGGCCGCCTTGTTGTGGATCAACGGGGTAGACATCCCACCATCCCTTGCCACCCCCTGACACCACCTCACCATCCCAGCATTCGTACTTCATATGCGTCCAGTCTTTCTTCTCTGCTACAAGCTAGCTGTGTTTGTGAATTGTGTTTTGATCTTTTAATTACTACATCTTGTATCTGCCAAGCAATCATGACACTTAGAAGGCATACCAGTGTTGCTGAAAGTGGCAAGAAAAGGTATAATCATTTAACCCTTTGACTGTTTCGGTCATATATATATACGTCCTACGAGCCACCGTGTTTGACTTATATATGTACTCATAAATTCTAGCGGCTTCAAATCAAGCAGGAGAAAGCTGGTAGGCCCACATGTGAGAGAATGGGTCTGTGTGGTCAGTGTGCGCCATATAAAAAAAAAAAACCTGGGGCACGCAGTGCACAATGAGAAAAAAAATGTGACGGTTTTTTACTAATTAAAATGCCGAATTTGTGGTCTGTTTTCGTATGGTATTTATGGTTGTATTCTCGTTTTCTTGATCTCATTTGATAGAATGGAAAACATATTATAGAAACAGAGGTGATTTTGATTGGTTTTACTATAAAAAGAACCTGGAAATGGAGCTCAAAGTAGGGAAAATGTTTGATTTTTGCCAATGTTCAAAAGTAAACAAATGATGTCATTGTCTAATAAATGTCCAACTAGCCATTCTAATATGCAGTCATGAATGGGTTGACATTATCTGCACAATTATTACAGTATTGTGGTAGTCTGCATAACAGTAAATCTTCTATTTCTTGTTTGAATAAAAATTCAAAATAGAAAGCAAGAGTAATATCAGAGGGGCCTGGAGATGCGACTGATGAACAAAGAAAATGTTATTTTAGAGCCAGGAATGTCTGCACTGTTCGTTCTGGACCTTATTTTGAAATTGTCATATTTTTTTAATTTTCGTGAAATTGGCCAAATTGCAAATTTGGCCACGTCACTGGATAGTTGACATCAGTAAATGGGCAGTTTCTTGTACTCAATCGACATAAAAACCGGAGTTCTAAAGAAATAGCTATGAGTTTGGTCAACTAGAACAATGGAATTAGCCAAAAATAGGGCTAAAAATGGGCGAAATAGCAGATTTGTAAATATTGCCGAGGTCGTTAACTTCATGAGAGCGTAATTCCACCAGTTTTCCATCAAATTTCATTTTTTTGGTGTCATTACAACTGGGAAAAGTTTCTCTTTCATTTCATAAGAAAAAATAATTTTTTTTTAAATTTTGCGACACCAGGAGACACCTCAGGATTGGGGGTTGCCACAGTAAAGGGGGTTAAGTCTTAGAATTAACAAATAAAACAAATATATTAGACAAGAGATAACCTGTGGTGTAATGAAGTGTTACTTTGTACACATAAAAAGAGGTAAACATAAGTTTGTGTGACTGACTTGAATGAATAGCTTACTCACTTGACTGAATAACTTACTTGACTTACTGACTTGACTGACTGAATGACTTGATTGACTTACTGAATGACTCTACTGATTGAATGACCTGACTTACTGACTTGACTGACTTACTGAATGACCTGACTGACTTACTAAATGACTTGACTTACTGAATGAATGGCTTGACTGACTGACTGAATGACTTAAAGTTAGATACTCCAGTACAACCATCGACTTCAGTACCAGAGCCTCGACCATCCACCTCAACCCAGTAGGGTCACAGCATAACTCTCACTCTCTTCACAATCATCCACAAACACC